CAAGGAGGACGTGCAGAGAGTTACGGGGATGAGAGGGCTGGGAGAGAACGCTCCTGCAGCTTGTATTATAGGGGTTGGCAAATAGAAACAGAGGAGGAGGTAGGATGGGGTTTGTCCTAGAGGAGGGAGGACATGGGAGCCTCTCATAATTCACCAGGAGATGGGAGAGAGGGAGGGAGCAGGTGGGCACGAGGGAGTAAGGAGCTCCAGTATGCGCTTGGTTTTCAGAGCTGCTGTAGGTGTCTCAAATGTTTCTTTTTATTTGTTTTCATATCTCCACGTGTGACAGTTTCTTGGGAGCCAATATTCCACCGTCTGTTTCTTTTGTCTCGCACGTAGCACACACCTCTACACACAAAAGACATTAAACCAAGCTGCCAGTTTGACAAAGACAATGGTTTTAGATTCAAGGAACTGGGATGCTTGCAAGTGAACAACAACAAGTTGCACTGAAATAATCACGAACTGTATTGCCTGTCTTTATAGGCAAGACTGACTGGGCATGTTTTAAACTGGTTAGAGCAAGAGAATATTTCCATATAAGTAAAAAATAAATAAATAAAAATTAAAATTTCATACTTAATGTAAATGTTTTAAGTGGCAAGTTTGCAGTGATGCAGGAAAGATAATCACAATGAAAGGGGACTATTAACACATGAGTGCTCACAGCATAGGAGTGGAAAAAGCATAGGTGGAAACGTCAAAGGTAATTACTTCCTTGCTCAGGGTATATACAGATAAAAAGACTACTACTGCAATAATATTAGATTTCAGAAGTAAAGATAAAATCCATGCCCAATAACAAGACTTTAGATTACTTTGTTTCAAGACATATTATCATCTTCAAGGAAAAATGCTTCATACAAAAGGACTAAAAGTCCAAATAAATCAAAAGTCCACCTTTATCCTGCAAAAAAGATTTCTTATTATTATAAAAAAAATAAATAAGAACAACTAAAGGAATAATGGTTCACGGCCGAGATCTTTAGTTCTTTCTGTACGTTTATAAATTTATTGATAATCTTAAAGGTCTGTTCCAGGTGTCAGTGACATCAAAGACGCATTAGTTTTTTATTGCTTCACAACAAATTATCACAAGTTTAGCAGCTTTAGCAAATTAACACAAATACTTATTATCTCCCAGTTTCCATGAGCGTGGAGTCCAGGAGCAGACAGGCTGGGTCTTGTGCTCGGGGGCTCACAAGGCTGCAGTCAAGATGTCAGCGAGGCTGCGTTTTCACCTGGAGGCTCCACTGGGGAAGAATCCACTCCCAAGCTCCCTGGGCGTTGGCAGAACCCATTCTCTTGCAGCTGCATGACTAAGGCCCTTCCAGATGCCTCTGCAGTTCCCTGCCTCATGGCTCATATTATAGCAGTTTGCCTCTAGAAGGGCAGTAGGAGAGCTTCTCCCTCCAGTCTGCTAAGACGGAGCCTCCTATAATGTTCTGTAACCAGGAGTGGCATCCAACAGTCTTTGCCATATTCTCTGATTTAGAAGCAAGTCCCAGGTTTGCCCACACTGAAGGGCATTCAACAGATCACCACGCATTGAGGCCCATCCTATGGTGTGTCCCTCAGAAAAGATAAACTGACGTAACCAATTTTCTTGTGAAAAACATATTTAATGACAAATATTTTAAATGTTTTTCATTTTTAACCTTTAAATATTTTTATCTCAATGAATTCTCAGAAGTAATCTATAGTTATTTAATACTATAAAAATTTAAAATATTTACATATTTATATGACTATTCATATTATATGAATATTTACATGACCAAGAAATTCCTTAGAATAGCTCTAACCTAAAGCTACTGTTTTGAATGTAAATTTTTTAAAGTAATCTTCAATTAGTTCTATGTTTTTGCTTTCATTATGAATATAGAAGAGATACTTGGATTATGTAAACTAACACTTATTTATCTGTTTTATTATTTAAAAACCTACTAAACAAATGAGTAGATCCATGGAACATAACAGAGCCCAGAAACACATCCACACATGTATAGAAATGTGATCTATGACAGAGGCAGTGTTAAAAAATTCTAATGAGGGAATGATGGACTCTTCAATAAATGCTGCTGAAATAATTAATTTTACATACAAAAATTCTCTTTTATACTTTCCTGTAGAGTTGAAATATTTTGCAAGTATAAAACAAAAGAATCATACCTCATTATTAGAAATAAACAAACACGCAAACACACACACAAATCTATTCTAAGTTGATTGAAACCTAAATGCTCTAAGACAAACGTTAAAATATTTAAAAGACATTTAGCACACGCCGTAAAATAAAATATTGATAAATCTTACTAAATTTTAAAAAATCTGTTCAACAAAAGATACAAAAAGAAGTTTCCAAGAAAATATTTTCAAAGCATACCAGGATTATTATCTAAAATACTTAAATAACCACTGCCAATCAATAAGAAAAAGTCAAACAACAGAATAGAAAATAGGTAAACAATATAGATAAGAAACCAACAGAGAAGGAAGCCAGCATGACCAATAAATATGAAAAGACGCTGTGCCTCACTAGTAGTCAGAGAAGGGCAAATGATAATATTAATAATAATGAGGTATCATTCTACATCCATCCAGATTAGCAAAACTCAAGTCTGATGACATGCCAGCCCTTATGCTATAAACAGAAAGAACCACCTTAGAGAGCTTTTTGACAATGCCAAATAAATTTGAAAGTATTCGTGCACTTGATTCATAGCAACTCCACCTCCATGTCTACACCCTAGAGAAACTCTTACATTCACACAGCACAAGACATGTCAAGGAATATTCACTGTTCATAACATTATGCAGTAATTAAAACCAGTAATGAACACCAGTAATATTATTTAGTAGATAAAAGATTCACATCCACCATCATGGACAAGTCTCAAAAATATAATGTTGAGCGAAGAAAGCAAATTACCAAATGTAATAGTGAAAAACCACAAATAGCAAATGTCTACCAAAGGAGAATAAATAAATAAATTGTGCTATACTCACAATCATACAGGAATTAAACTTAAATAGAGATTATACATAACCATGGAAAATCTTAAAAACATGTTGACCACTGACAGCAAGAACAGAGCAGTATGTTCAGCATGAGATCATTTATAGAAAGACTGAAAACAGGCAAAACCATACTATTTGCTTATAGAATAATAACATAAGAATGTGCATGTGAACAATGGACACCAGCTCAGAATAGTGGTATAACCGGGAGACCAAGAGGACATGTGGGCAGAGAATGGTACATTGGGGGCTCCAAATGGAGCAGCAATTTGTAATTTCTGAACAAAATCAAGCAAATATGGGAAAGTTAAAGATCTATTAAAGCCGCGTAGTCAGTACTGGCTGTTGTTACATTCTTCTGCATTCTTTTCTGCTTGTTTGAAATATTTCATCAGGACTTTTGAAAGAACCAGCCTACCAGATCTTTCCGCAGTACTGCCCTTTGGTTCCCTGTTTGTCCTTTTGTAAAATGTCTAATATACTTCACTGCTCTTTCCTTCTTAATTTTATTTTGCATTGAAAATAGTGAATAACCTTTGGTTTTCAAGAGCACTTTGATGGGGACATTTGATATTTAGAATAAAGACATCATAAGTGAAGGTTTTTTGTTTTAGTAAATTTTAATCAAGTGTCAAGTTCTGAAGGGAGGGATTCTCTCTTTTTATTCTGTCCCTCTGTCCCAACGCACGGCAGCAGGTCCACACGCGTGACGCCTGCCCGGTAAGTGTTGTTGTTACACATCTTAGAAAGCAAAACCAGCATTGCAGAACTGGAAAGGTATTCCCACCTTCACGACCATCTTGTTCTTAAGAAGCACTGTCACCACTTTACCATCAAAAATAAAGGCGTAGTGATCTTTACCTGCCCCTTCATACACAGAGTAAATTATACTCACAGGAAAGTAGGAGTACACTATTGAAGACAACGGGAGGCCAGCATGGATATAGTTTTAAAACCATACAACAACCTTTTCCCTGGTATTTACACATGCTTGGATATTTACTCAGGGAGGCCACACATACACGCACACACACACCTATGATGAATATATATGTAATTATATTATATACTTATATTTTCATATTTTAATAGAATGTTGTTAATGGTGCTTTCATTTTTGTCTTCAAGCGGACCTGAAAAAAAAGTGATACCAAACCAACTCCAAAGGTAACTCTGAAGAGGAGAGGTTTTTGGTGAGTCTGTTTGAGTGACACAGAAGCCATCAGGGCAGGGACAGTCCAGGAGACACCACCATCCTGCTTGTGGTAGTCAGCCTCTAAGACAGCCCCAAAATCCCTGCCTCCTGGTGTTTACATCCTTGTGAAGTTCCCTCCTGTCATAGACTGAATTGTGACGGCCCCCGTCAAGATTCGTATGTTGAAGCCCTAACACCCAGTGTGACAGTATTCGGAGATAGGGCCTTTAAGGTGGTAAGTAAGGTTAAATGAAGTCATAAGGATGGGATCTTAATCCAATACGACTGATATCCTCATAAGAGAAGGAAGAGACCCTGGGGATCTCTCTTTCTCCACATGAACACAGTGAGAGAGTACCTAGCCAGGAGGAGAACCCTCACCAGAAATCAAATTGTCTGGCACCTTGATCTTGGACTTCTAGCCTCCATATTGTGAGAAAATAAATTTCTATTGTTTAAGTCACCGAGTTTGTGGTATTTTGTTATGGCAGCCTGGACTGACGAACACACCTCCCATATTGTACCAAGTTTGATCTGTGAGACCAATAGAATATGGCAGAAGTGATGGTATTTCACTTCTAATGTTAGGTTATAAAAGACACTGTGCCTTTTGTCTTGGATGCATTCTCTTGCCCTCTCTCTTTCTCTCACTCTCTCTTTCTCTCTCTCTCTCTCTTTCCAATCACTTAGCTGAAATATCATAAGCAGCGCCATGGAGAGGCCTAGGTGGCCCAAAGATGAGGTCTGCTGCCCACAGTCACATGAGTAAACCTGACAGCAGATCCTCCATCCCCACTCAAGCCTTCAGATGACTGAAACCCTGGCTGCCAGCTTGACTGTAACCTCACGAAAGACCCTGAGACAGAGCCACCCAGCTAACCTGCTCCTGGATTCCTGACCCTCAGAAACTGTGTTAGAGCATAAGCATCTGTTGTTTTAAACGACTGCTATGGTCTGAAGGTTTGTGTTCCCCCTAAAATTCACATGTTGGAATCCTAACACCTAATGTGATGATGTTAGAAGATGGGGCCTTGGGAGGTGTTTAGGCCATGAGGGTGGAGCTGTCACAAGTGGAATTAGTGCTCCTATAAAAGGGACTCCACAGAGCTCCCTGGCCCCTTCCACCATGTGAGGATACAATGAGAAGTCTGCAATCCAGAATAGGGTTCTCACTCAACCCTGCTGGCACCCTGATCTTGGACTTCCAGCCTCTAGAACTGTGAGAAATAAATTCCTGTTATTTATAAGCCAGGCAGTCTGCAGTATTTTGTTACGGCAGCCCAAACTGACTAAGACAGCCACTAAGTTTGGGGTAATTTTTTACTCATCAATAACATACCACTTTATTCAAAACCAGCCTAGAAGTCTGCTATTAAATTTATCTATTTGATGTGATGCCAGTCATGTTTATTCCATGATGTTTCAAAACCACTGTCCTCACCATAATCCTTCAGGACCATCAACCTACCAGATGGAGGCACAACCATAAGGAGTATTCAGTTTTATACAGGCACAACTTTTACAGAACATCAGCATCTTAACATTTATTCATCTTCTACCCACCAATATTCCAATATCCAGATGGAAACTATGTTTTAGGTGGTCCTCAATTGTGATTTAAATTTCATTCATTATCCCAAAGTTTGAAGAAGCATCTTACGTCCTCCCTTTCTTGATCCCATGTTAGCTATATTTAGATTCTAGAATTTCCTCTCTATTTTTGGTAATGTAGTTAAGTCCTCTTCTTACTGTGAAACAGACTTTTAGCCATATTAAAAACTGTTGCCCAGTAATAATGGGTTTTCACTGAAGTGCTTCGCTTTTCCTCTTCTCCCACTCCTCAGCTGCTCTTCTGTTTCCCTTTCTCCAGCTGCTTGCGTTATCACTTCTTAATTTTCCTTTTCTCTTGTTGATATTCTCTGCTCTGATATTTCCTGATAGCAACAAACCCATCTGACGGCATGTGAGAGCCATATTTTTCTTACCATATTTATGAGTTTGCCCTTCCATCATTGCCTTCTGAAATGACTGATGTAAGCTTGAACTCTACTTAAGAGATAATTGCAGAACCTTTGGGGAAAGGATTGTTACTTCAAGAGTATGAATAAAGCAATTTAGATGGAAGGATGCAGACATTCTTAATAACATGCTTTGTGATGTCAGTATTCAGGGTAAATGGTTATCCGTGGTAAGTTTTCATCAATATCTCAATCAAAGTTAGGGCACAAGTGGTTTTCCAGGTGGGTGAAGCCAACTGGATGTCGGCCACCATGTAAAGTGCAGACTGTAGTGGTGGAAAGTAAGAGGCAAGACCGCGTATCCTGAGAACATTAACTGATCAAGACCATCTAAGTTGTTAAATGTCTACCATGCAAGCAAAAGTCAAAATGATAGACTCATTTCAAAAAACCCTCTGTGTCCTTAAACATCTTTTACTTGGCAAACTACATCTAGATCTTGATATTTTTGAAGGGAAAACAAACAAGCAGAGTGGAAAGAGGGGGATTGGGTTCAATCCCATTCTGTCATTTTTTAGCTGAAAGACCTTGTGTTGATCATCTAGTTTCTATGGGCCTCATTTTCTTTGGTTGTAAAATGGGAACAATAAAGAGTGGTAATAATCATTAAATGAGACAATGTGTGTGGCACATGGAAAGTGCTCAAATAATGGTGGTTCCTTTAAGTTCCTCAAAGCAGTGGTGGAAAGGAGAGCAGCCTGAATAAGGAAAGTGTTAGATTTCCCTCAGATGACACGAGAGGAATGTATTTTTTCTTCCATTAATTCTCAGATCTTAAGGCTGCCATTAAGTGTTTGGGCTAAATCACTCCGTTTGCCATGTGTTTCATTACATGATGTTTAACGCAGTGACATCTATAAAATCGTATATGTGGAGGAGACAGAATATAAATACATCACTAAAGTAAAGAAGGTGATCATTTATAAAGTGTGTGTGAAAACTAAAAATGGATTAATTAACTATGTGACTTGGGTTGGGGTGGTGGCATCAAAGAGGGTTCACAGGTAGGCATTTGAATTGGGTCTTTAATGAAGAGTAGAGGCATTCACTCAGGGGACAAGGGAAAGCATGTGCAAAGGCCCCTAGGCTTGAAACACCAAGGCACGTCAGCAGTGCCCTAACTTGCCTGCAACTGAAATCACTTTGGGAGCTTCAAATATAGGGACACCTGTGCCCCACCCCAGACATTGGTATTTAATTGTCTGGAGTGTGACCTGGGTTCTGAGGTGTTTAAAGGACCCCTAAGAGATTCTAATAAGCACACAAGTTTGGGAACCACTGGTATATTAATTTTCTGTAAGTTGTTCTGTTTGTCTGAGTGTAGGATAAACAGTAAGATACGAACGTGACATGGCATGCTATAGAATTTGGACTTTATACTCAAGTCCAGAAACTGTTGTATGGTCCTATAATTTGAAAAGTTGGTATGCACCCCAAAGTGTGTATATATGCATTTATTCATTAACTTATACATGTACTTTTGTAATAATGTGGCATGTACAATATAGTTATATTATACACAGAAAAGTAGAAATAAAAAATCGATTAGCAAAAGAATAAAACAGTATTTTAAGTAGTTTTATTTATTAATGGTAAGAAAAAAACCTTTCTGCGCTCACTAAATTATTAAAATATTATTTTTGTATAAGCAATAAGACAGGATATGCTCCACCATTTGTGACAATCCTGGTTTGACGTGTTGTGACAGAGAGATTCAGAGTCTCCTTTTCATGGCAGACATTTTGTAACATGGTTTTAAGGGTTGTTTTACCTAAAACCAAAACTTCTCCAAAATACGTAATACAAATGGAAGAAATGCAGCATTGGCTGAACATAATCATGTTTTCATTTTTCAAACTCATCCTCAATTATGTAATTTTAAACTGCCCTGATGGCTATCATTTGATCTTACAAATTTATCAGAGGGCATTAAATTTTTTTTAATGAATAAGCTCAAAACACACGGGGACTCACATTTTGGAACATTTTTAAACAAACTATAAAATATGTTTTCATGTTTTTAAGTGTGTTTTGAAATGGAGGAAAGGGACAGTTTCCATGAGATAGAAAAGACGAGAATCTCCTCTTCAAGTGAAAGAGACAAGGCCACTGAGATTTAACGCAGATCCAGTGAACATTACTAAGTTTGTAAGTGCCAGGCACCCCGTGCTCCTCGTAGGCCCCTCCTTTGCTGTTTGCAACAACCTGTTTATTATGTATCTCCATCTCGGTGTTACAGTGAGGACACCGAGGCTCACAGGTAGTAGCTACAGTACTAACAATACAGCAGAAAAGTTTGGAACCGGATGCTTGAGAGCTTAGAAAAAGGCTTGCAAAGGCTACTGAGAGAAATCTGTTAGGGAGACCACGAGAAGTGAAGAGCGTTTTCCTGAGCAATGCTCAGAGGCAGTTGGAGAGTCACACTTGTGGTGGGAGATAGCATAATTTTGTGATTTTCTTCCACATATTGGCAATTCAAGAGTTAGAGAGAAATTAGACAGAGGGGACAGAAAAATCAAGGGGCTGGAGAAGTCTAGGATATTGGCAAAGGAGCTTTTGTGACAGCTTTCTTAATGGTGTGGGGTTTACAGGTTTTACAGGTAAGGGAACAAGCATGTGCTGAAACGGAGGAAGGATGAGATTAGGGGACCGGAGGCTCAGTGAGGCTCAGTGTGTGACGGTGGGAGGGAGATGCTTTAGAGGGCAAAACCATACTAGGTTTTCCCATCTGATGGGCCTGGGGTCAAGTCCTGACTTGGCCAGTTGTCTTGTGACCTTAGACAGTTACATAACCTCCTTTGACCTCAGTTTCACCACCTATAAAATGGGAGTTACAATAACATGGCCTCATTGAGTTGTTGTGCAGTTCTCACAGAAAGAGCTTGACGGGTATAACTGCTCAGACACACAGAAGGAGCTCAATAAACAGTCGGTGCTACTGTCATTACCGTTATCATTACTGAGCTCTCAGGGATGGAAGGACTTGAAGACAACAGCCAAAGTGGGCCAGGGCAAATGGATGGCCAACGTGTGTGGAGGTAAAGGTTCTTTGAGGTAAAAGTCCTGAAGAAGAAAGAACATAAAATATATAACACGTTTACAGACTGAGATAAATTCTGTGAAGTGATAAGCAGGGTAATGTGATTAAGAGCATCAGGGTTGAATTGGGGCATGTTAAACTTGCCAACCATTGTGGCAAAAATAGAAATTTGACGAGATTTTTCAGATTTCTTCTTCGCAGTCAAGTCAGTCACATCACATCATTTCTCACGTGGTATAACAACACGATTGCTGTGGTCTGTGGAAAATGAAACTCATGCCCCGTTGAAATACTTCTCCGTGCTCTTCCAATCAAACCCAATCCAAACTCGTCACCAGGGTCTACAGGGCTCAGCTCTCCCTCACAGCTCTACTCTCTCCCTCCAGCTCCTCCCGCTCCAGCCAAATCTTCCGCTTTTCTGTTTTTGGAATAAACCAAGCTCTTCCCTGCCTCAGGCTGTTTGCTAACCTTTCTGCAGGACACACTTCCACCTCGCCCTCCACCTCTACTCTGTCTTTGCATCACCAGCAATTCCTCAGCTCAAATCTCGCCTTCAAACCTTTCCCAAGTATGCCATCTAACGCACCACCTCCCCTCCACTTACTCGTGATTCCTTCTCCTTTTTAACTCCTTCACAGCACACGTTACAATCTGTGAGCATGTTGATTTTTCACTCTCCAACTACAGTGCAAATTACATGAGACATGACCATGTCGCTGTTGTTCATTGCTGGAGCCACAGCAGTGACAACATCTGGCAAAGGACAGGTGCACAATAAGTACTGCCAGTTGAACAAATGAAGGATCAAAATACAAGAAACAGAGATTTCATCCGTAACATCAACAAATAAGACAGCTCCTTTGGTTCTCATTCCCCCAACTCCAAAGCCAGACAACTTCACAGACCTCCCACACTATTTTAAAACTAACTGTCTATCGCTCAGTGATGATTTCCCAGGCAATATAATTTTGTTCTCATAAATATAGCTTCCTCACTTCTGCTGTTCTAGAAAATTCTAGGAAAACAAAACCAGTACCCATAACAACTGTAAGAAATACATCAGAAAAGACAGAGATGTTTGTCTCTAGTCATCAGAGCAACTCTGGACTCCAATTTCCTAGACTCTCAAACATTTAGAAGTAATCTTCGGCCACTTCTCATTCTCCACTTTCATCACTTTAAATGTATATTTTGAAAATATTTCTCAGATTCTTTTACAATTTTTAAGTAGGGAAGCATTTCTAACACAAAATCCAAGTAAATTTTTGCATGGAAAAATCCACTACAAGTAAAGTCAAAAGAAAACTATAAGGAGCCGGTCCTGTGGTGTAGTGGTTAAGTTCAGAGCGCTCTGCTTTGGCAGCCTGGGTTCACGGGTTCAGATCCCAGGCACAGACCTACACCACTTGTCAGCCATGATGTGGTGGTGACTTATGTACAACACAGAGGAAGATTGGCAGAGATGTTAGCTCAGGGCTAATCTTCCTCAAGCAAAAAGAGGATTGGCAACAGATGTTAGCTCAGGGTAGATCTTCCTCAGCAAAAAAAAAACAAAAAGAAAAAGAAGAACTATAATCTGGGGAAAATATTTGTAACTCAAGTCACAAAGGGCTGTTTTCTCCTATATAAAAAACTCTTGCAAATCAATAAGATAATACTAAAATCTCATCAGAAAAATGGGCAAAGACTGACAGTTCACAGAAAGGGAAACATAATTTAAACATATGAAAATGATTAAATTTACTTAAAATAATAGAATAGCACATTAAAATTACAGCAACAGACCATTTTTTTACCTTGCCAATTGGCAAAGTTTCAAAGTCTGATAATATCTTGCATTATCAAGGCTATATATGAAACAGGCACTTCATATGTTGCTGGAGAACATGTACACTGTGCAGTCTCTTTAGAGAACAATTTGGAAATATCTATAAAAATTACATACATACATACATACTCTTTGCCTTATCCCAACTACTTTAAAAAACCTATTCCAATATATTCACACATGTGTGTAATGAACTAAGTACAAGGTTAATCACTGCAGCATTGATTTTAAAAGCAAAAGATTAGAAACAATCTAAATGTCCACCAGTTGAAAGCAACTTAAATTATGGTACATCCACATAATTGAATAATATGCATCAAAAAAAAATGAAGGAGCACGTTTTATTTACCGATACAGAAAAATCTCCAATGCATGTTGTTAAGTGAAAAAAAAGACGGTGCAAATCCCCTGTGGAACACTGCCACTTGTGTAAAGGCACTGAGGTATATATGCACATTTCCCTGTTTGTGCATAAACAAAGTCCCTGGAGAGACCCACAAGCAGCGAACAGGAGTAATTTCTCAGTGGGCTTGGGAGTGGCCTGATAGAGAAGGCAGAGGAAGTGGTAGACAGGAAACTCGTCACCAGGCACCTGTTTGATTTTTAAAATTTGGTGGTAAGGATAAGAAAAAGAAAAGCTTAGAAAGTGCTTCCCAACAACCTCCTTTCCTCTTGAAGAACTCTGTTTGGGATCCAAAATGGCTCCCTGTTAGTAATTGGATACACAGTAAACAATTAGTAAACGTTGAATGTACGAGTGGGGGAATGAAACGGATTGATCCTTCACTGGGTTACTAAAGGTCTTCCAACAGTTGGATCTACGTTATCCGCTCAATTTATCTCGCACCCATCTCAGAGACCATCACTCGAGTCTTCTTACAGTCCCTACCTAGTCATTCTTACCCTTGCTAATGAGCTTTCCCCCACCGTGGAGCCCTCACTTTGTCAGTCCAAATCCCACATTTCATTTAGAGCACAGTCTCATATCCACCTTCTGAGTGGCTTAAAACAACAGAAATTTATGGTCTCACAGTTCTAGGGACTAGATGTCAAAAATCAAGTTGTCAAGAGGAGGATGCTCCTTTTGAAACCTGTAGGGAAGAATCCTTTCTGGCCACTTACTAGCTTCTCGTGGTTTGCCAGTGATCCTTGGCATTCCTTGGCTGGCAGCTGCAGCACTTCAGTCTCTACCTCCATCCTCCATCATCACATCGAGTTCTTCCTTTGTGTACCTGTGTCTCTGTCTCTTCTCTCTTCTTATAAGGACACCAGTCATATCGCACTAGGGCCCACCCTAACGCAGTATGACCTCATCTTAACTTGATTACATTTGCAGACTCTATGGTATTTCAAATAAGGTCACATTCACAGGCGCTAGGGGTAGAACTTCGACATATCTTTTTGGGACACAACTCAACACACAAAACCTTCTCTAGCTGATACCATCTTGTTTTTAGACTGTTTCCCCTGATATTAAATTCTATAGCATATAGATCTGCACTCTCACAGTCTCTCTTGTTTATCTAGCAA